CTTGAAATTTTCCTCTGATGGAGTTGTGCTCCTCAGAAATTACTAAGAGTTTTCATTAAATTTTTCTTTCAATTCAAATCAGGGTTTCTTGAAATTCTACTTAAAACTATCAGGTTTCACAAGAAATCTTTAATTCCTCAGAACTACCTTGAAAGCAGATTGCATTTGATGTTTTTCTGAAAGATTTTTTCCCAGAGCTTCCTCAAAATGAGGTCCTAAGAGATTATAATAAAATTGCGCTTTTAAGTCCAAAACTAGTCCAAATTTAAAATTTCTAGAAGATATACATGCTCAAAATCAAAATAAAAACATTTCAAGTCTTAGTTTTTTTTAATTTATTTTTTGCTGAAGATTAGTCCACGTTGAAAGTGTGAATGAAAATAACGAGAAATATTAAATGATTGTATTTTAAAATTAACTATTTTCTTTGGAATATCCTTAGTAATAAAATTATTAAATTCTCTAAACCTTCCAGGTATTTTAAGTAAAAATAAAATTTTCTGAGGATTCCCGGTTTTTGCAGTTATTAGACACCCTGACTAATACCGTGGGTTTGCTCATAAACTTTCTATTGAATCTTTCGCTTTAAAGGTTCATATCGTACAGAAGTGTTAATGAGATATATATTGAATAAGTCTAAAACATCAAACATTTATATGGTGTGTCATCAGAACAACTTCTTTTCTTCTCTTAGGTCACTTTTTAGTCACTATTCTTACCACTATAAGTCACTATTTTGCACTTATTTCTTAAACATGGTCACTAAAATAACTATTTTTGACAGCAGTGATCGCTACCAGCCCTGCGTTACTGAACAAATGGAATGAAAATTGGAATAAACGTGGTCAATTAAAGTTCTACTGTGCCTGGAAATTCGCGTATACTCATTTACCGTTTGCTTTAAATTAAAAAAAACTCAGCTAAACGCTTAAAATGATTCGAATTATGGTTATTACGCCAATTAATATTAAAATCACCAGCCAATATATTTAATTTACTAGAATCAAGGAATGTCTCAAGCCAGTTCTCTAAAACTTCAACAAAACGCTGGTCACTAGAACTGGGAGAATGATACAAAACACCATAACTACCCATCTTCATGCCACGTACAACTGTAATGGCCAAGAACCAGTTACCATCGATAACTTCATTGATGCGAAGGTTAAATTGAACTGATTCTTTGCCATAAATAGCAACACAGCCAGTGTGTCTAGAATGTGACAAACAAGCAGCAACAATATATCCCGAAATACTATATTTATCAAAAGCTTCGGTTTCTACAATATGAGTTTCAGATAATAAAACTAAAAGAGGACGTTTTCCTTAACATTCTGACGTAACGCTACGTAGCTTGTTGACAATCCCGCAATATTAAAATACAAAAAATCGAATTGATTCACATTCCTGGAACTTGGCTGCTATTTTTCTGATCAAAAAGTCTTTTATGAGCAAACATTCCGAGTTAAATGCGGCATGGTTGACGTCCAAGTCCATTTTACGTTCTTTATACATTTTCAAACAATTAATACATTTCAATACAGTTGACGTATATCCGACGTTTTGTGTTGTTGGCTGCACCTAGAGCATCTCTCATAATTTTTGCAATCCATGTTCTTGTGCCCAAATTCTCCACATTTGAAGCATCTCAACACATTAATCGCGGGAACTATCGAGCACCGATCAAACCCTACATTTACTTTTTTCGCACATAACAAACATTTATAAGTATCGACATCGACTTCAATTACAACACTAAACTTGTTATAAGTGAAGCGTGGATTTTCAAACATGTTCACTACTTTAACATCATTTATAGCGATGTCTTCATTTTGACTTTTTAAGTAGTCAATGTTGGCACCAAAGTGGGAACAACATCACTATATTTTTCACCCAGATTGCTTTCAATACCAGTTTTTACATCATTTAGATTAGCTCCTGTTGCACACTCAACAATAATAGAGCCATCTTTACCATTTCTAAAATTACTGATTTTGTGTGTTTTTGGATCCCACTGAGTTTTCAAAAACTTACGAGTATCTTCGCAAGCTTGTTTGGACTCTTTCGGTTTAATCACAATGACCGGACGAGTCTTACGATTATCTGGTTTGTTACTTTTACTGTTACTGTTACTGTTAGTTTTACTTTGACTAGCACTCGCATTTTCTTTAAAAACAACATCATCATTATCACTATTTTGTATTTTACGTTTTTTGCGTCTGGCATTTTGGTCCGATTCTGACTGAATCGTCCTAGATGAACTGCGCTGATCATTCATTACAGTTAATTGGTTTTCCGCATCAATTTCAAAAAATGAACTTTTCATATTATCCAATTGCTCACAAATTAAATTTTCAAGACCATTTACATTTAGTCTAATGTCTGCCATCCCGCTTTTAACCGCGATGTCCACCTGAGCAGCAATGTGATCTCGCATGCCAGTGATCGAGTCCGAGTCTTCATCTGTTCCTCTATCATTTTGACGCGCGAGATCAGATCATTCTGCTCGTCACAACTCTGATCTGATAGACAACTATCACACTTGAACAGAACATTTGCATTATCTGCTGTAAGCCTCGCCGCAATCTTATTGAGTGCCGCACAAGCGAAGTGGAACGTTCCATTTCACGGACCTACACATGACATGTAACTAGGAGCCCACTCATAGCAATAGACAGCTCACAGACATTACACACATCCATTTTACTAAATTAAATGCTAACACTGTTGGCAGCAGACATATACAGGGGAGGAGAAAACAAAATAAAAGTTTACCGCCACTATACAGAATCAATAGCGCGCCGGGGGAAAATACAAAATTAAACAAGAACGAGTTGCTTGGCAACCTTTCCTTTACGTATCCTGTTTAAAAAAAAAGGACACAACGGGCACGCGTTGGAATAATCCTTTCGCGGCACACGGCACTATTTCACACGAAATTATGAATTTATTTTCACAGCCCAACTCAACTTTGTTCTTTGTTCGCCATACTAGGGAGGAGCAATTTCCTATGGCAACCTTTAGTTGGTGATGACCGGTAAGATACGATCGAAGAAGATTAACGCATACACCGAGCCTGCCAAGTGTAGCAATCGCAATTGCATGGTTCAACTAGATCTGAATTAATAACGTCCGTTTGAACCCGATCCGACATGTTTTCGGTAATTTACGAAGTTTTCTCAATTCGACCAAGATCTCAAAACATCCATGGCGTTCTCCAAACTTCAGGAAAAACCTTGAACCTTTTCTATGAATTTCCCTAAACATCAGAGTGAAACAAGTTCCCAAATCACTGAAGCTCTAAAATGCATGCTGACCTTTTACAATACTTCCTGAGCTTCTATAAAATTCCCTGAACATGTAAGAAGCTCTCTGAGCTTCTACACTTTTAGATTTGTTGTTAGAAAACATGCAGAGGATGTAAGAAAGGAACTATGATCTATGTCAAATTTAATCAAAGAAGAAAACGGATACTTCAAAGAAGTGGATGGTACAAGTAAAACAAATTAATAGAATTATGTTGAGTAAACTGTTATACAACAAAAATTAGTAATACAAAGGTTATATAAACAGTTATAGAACATGTGTGTTACTAGTTGAGATACATAAGAAATTGAAACCATCACGACGAAATAGATGAGTATCAAGCTTTTCGGAGACATTATGATATGTTTACGTTTCCACCATTTATTTGCTGAAATTCTCAACTCTCAATTCTCAACTCACAAAAGGTATGAAGCTGACGCATTTTCACAACCATGAACTAAGTTTGAGAGATAAATAATTTTTTTTGGAAAGTTATCGATTTTTTTTTTCAGTTCTATCGCATTTTCTAAATCCTATGGCAAAAATTAACACTAATTAACAGACATGATATTTTAAGAGATTCGAAGCGAAAGGTATTTGTTAGCATACATTAAGAAAATACCTAAAATAAACAAATTTTTGATATTACCTCTAAGAATTCCATGAAATTTCGCATAACTGTTCGCTAAGGGCAATGAACCAAGTTTGTGCTAGAATTCGGCCCTAGTTGAAATAAGTTTGACTTACTAAATACTAACTGACTGGTAATTTGATCAATATCACCTGGCAATGGTAAAACATCTAAGATGGGATCTTTTGAAGGCTCTGAATATCATTAAATATATGTATCGTTTTGCCTATTGATGGAATTCTTCGTAAGGCAAACTCTCCCTGCAGATATTTTGATCAATCAAAAATTTCCCCTCCAAAATTTCCTTTAAATCACAATCAGCATGCCAAACTTACTGCTGAATAAATTAAGATCACAGGAAATATCACGTAAAAACACCATGTTATTGTATCCATTTGCTTATGTTAGTAATAGGCCATCCCATCACCATCTACCTCATTAGCAGTCATCGTGCCATCAGTCTGCTACCAGCTTCGAACAAAAAACAAAAAATCCGATCATCTGCATTTGAATGGTGCTAACCGGGCATTTCTGCAAATGGAGAAATTCAAATTCCCCTCCACCTTTCGCTCTGCCTATCAGCTTATAAGGATCATCCAAAACTGAATGCGAAGTTTTTAAAGGGGCAGCGGGCAGGCACAACTCGTGAACCTGTTTTGCTGCCCATTTGTCTATTTTGTTGGCCGTACACGAGTCGTTTCCCCCCTCCTCGAGCGAGTGCCGAGAAACAAGAAGGAGCAGACGAGAAGTAGCTGATTATATTTTTTTACATAATTAAAACCTGCCTTACCTTGCTGCGCTTACTCGAAAATATGTTTGCGCTGCGCACATTCCAACAGTTGTTCCAGCGGTAAATAAGATCTTCTTCGCATAAAACTCCAACGGCGACAACGGCGGCGATGAGCATAACATTAAACGTAACGATTTATTCAATGTTCAACATCATCGCACCGAGTCGCAACAAATTGAGATGCACGGGAATCAGCGGTGAAGCGGGTTGGGGGAGGGAGGGAGGAAGCTAGTTTAATTTTATATCACTTGGCTTAATTAAAATAATCATCACCAGACACTTGCAGCAGGTAGGCTTGAAGAAACAAAAAAAAGCAGAACAGAGAAATCCGAGTGTTGCACCCCCCTGAGAGATAACAAGGTGGGCGGACTAATGTTACATTGTTTCGCCGAACGGCGGCGAATTGCTAACTAGAAGGGGCGACCAGTTGACTAGAATTTCAAAAGTGTTTCAAATCAGTGGTGAAGGAGAAGAAGAATCGGTGGGATTCCTAGGTGTGAAATGAGTACAAATGATTCGGCGGCAGTGGCAAAGTCTGCTTCCAGCAATCACCAGCAAGTCCAGGTCGGTAAACAGTGGTGGAAAGTATGCTTCCTGTATGGGAACCAGGAGAAGTACTATCGGCAGATCTACGCGAAGGCGGCTTCGGAAAGGATAGCTCAGTCCCAGCATCAGCAGAATGGAAGTGGACCGACTCAGCGTAAATCGGCGATCATCTTCCCGACCAAACAGCACCGTCCCATTCTGCTGAACGGTGGAGGCCAAAAGAAAGACTCGGATACGGACCGACCTGCTCCGGCGGTCAAGAAGCGCGTAACAGTCCTGGATGATTCGTTTCTTCTGGGGGTCAGCGAAGACGAGCAACGGTCGGACAGTGGCATCAACATCGATGCCTCGAACCAACCCGATGAACCCCCGGCGGTGGCCAACCGTGGGATGCGTCGTAATTTCCACCTGAGCAGCGAAGAGTTGCGATTGTTGAACTCGGACAAACCGCTGCTCAGCGGGGGACACTTTGCACAATCGTCTACGCCTCCAGTTCCAACCACTCCCGGGGTGATGGCGGCGGCACCAAATCCATCTCCCATTGTGATGAACCCAACCGGCTCCAGTGGGAACTCACAAATTGCACGTAATTCATCACCACCATCATCATCATCACCAACGGCAATGGCGGATTCTCCCCGTCCGGACGTTCTGGTTCCAACCAACCCGAGCAATAAGTGAGTAAATATTTGCAATAATCTCAACTTTAGGTTTTTGTTCGTTGTTTTCTTTTCTTCTTTCTCATGCAAACCAGCCCATGGAGAAAGGCTGGATGTGGGCAAACAAAAGCGAGCGCAGGCAATCTTTAATTTCTCTCGCAGTTTTCAGGCAAATGATGACGGTTTCCAGCACAAGTCGACACACACAAAAAAAAAACAGCGTGGACCGTAAATGGGCCGGAGTTGATCAGTTTTATTTTGATTGCTTCCCAGAGAATGTACTGTCATTTTTTTATATACGTTATGCGACCACCAAATTGCATATCCACTTAATTCTGTTTTTACGAAATTATAAAGTTTTCGATTTTACCTTCATTTAAGATTTTTTTTTGTAACTCTTTATTTGTTCCAAATTCAAAATAAATTACATTTCATTTTAACCTAGGTGCTCCAGTTACTACAGTAACTTACCAGCCTTAATTGTTATGATATATAGCTAAGTGTTTTTACATTGTTCCTGTCTTGGCAATTCAGTATTTTAAACAGGTTTTTTAAACCTGCATGTCAGTATAACAATTGATATCTTAAAACTAAAAACTAAAGAGAGAAAATATTCAGATAATCCCGAGCAACCTGATTCTCAATAGGACTAGTAAGACCCAAACTGAAATTGTGGGAACTCTCGAATTGCTTAGCAAGTTTCTGAGCTTTTTCCAAATTTGTGATCAAAATTTTACCACCTTCTTTAAGCGCTGGAATAGGCTTTTGAGGTTTTTTCAAAATTTTTGTGAGTTTCCAAAAGGGTTTGGAACTCGGGTCTAATTTAGAAACATTATTTTCAAAAGTTTTGTTCCTCAGGGCAGAGAATCGGGTTTTAATTTGTTTTTGCAAATCCCGCCAGATAACTTTCATGGCAGGATCGCGTGTTCTTTGATATTGTCTCCTACGGACATTTTTAAGACGGATCAAGAGCTGAAGATCGTCGTCTATTATAATTGAATCGAATTTAACCTCGCATTTTGGTACTGAGGCAGCTCCTGCTTCAACTATAGAAGTAGTCAGAGATTCAAGAGCATAATTAATTTCATCTTTGGTTTGCAAAGGAATGTTTGGATCGAAGTTATATTCCATAAATGTTCGATATTGCTCCCAATCAGCTCTATGGTAATTGAAAATAGAACTGTTGGGATTACAAATTATTTCTTGGGATATTTCAAAAGTTACTGGAAGGTGATCAGAACCGAAGTCAGCATGGGTAACCAGTTGGCTACAAAGTTGACATGAATCAGTTAAGACCAAATCAATAGTGGAGGGATTTCTTGCAGAAGAAAAGCATGTTGGGCTGTTTGGATATTGAATAGTGTAATAACCTGTAGAACAATCATCAAACAGAATATTACCATTGGAATTGCTTTGAGCATTATTCCATGAGCGGTGTTTTGCATTAAAATCACCAATAATAAAGAATTTAGACCTATGACGGGTAAGTTTCTGAAGGTCACCCTTGAGAAAATTCTTTTGCTGGCCTACGCATTGGAATGGCAAATAGGCAGCTGTAAACGTAAGTTGTCCAAATTTTGTTTCAACAGAAACTCTCAAAGTTTCAAAAACTTTGGTTTCAAATGAAGAAAGAATTTTATGTTTGATTCGTCTATGAACAATGATGGCAACGCCACCACGGACCCCCTGTCAAGACGATCATTTCTATAAATTAAATAATTTGAGTCCTTCTTAACCTTATGGCCAGGTTTAAGGAACGTTTCAGTTATAACGGCAATATGCACGTTATGAACTCTCAAAAAGTTAAATAGCTCGTCTTCATTATCTTTAAGAGATCGAGCATTCCAATTTAAAATATTTAAAGCTTTAAAATCCATTACTGAATTTTAAAGTCATGACAATATTATTAGCAATTTTTACTCCAGTTTGAACAGCATCAAACATGGAGTTAGATTTAAGCATATCAAAAATATATATCAATTAATGAATTCTGTAAAAATTCCATTTTAGGGGCAGTAATGCTTCCTAAGTCAAAATTGTCAAAATTTCCGTTAGAACGTTGGTTAGTATTTTAATTTCTACCTATTTGTACCTACAGGTACGAATGTAGAATTTGTTCCTCGCTGACCGTTGTTAACAGCAGAGGAATTTGTACTTGTTCGAAAACGTGGAGCATTTCCTACCTGACGGTTAGAACGAGATTGTAGGATCGCTTTGCGAGTCTTACATTCCCAAAAATTGGATTTGTGGTTTTCACCACAATTTGAACATTTAAATTTCTTAGGATCTTCCTTCACAGGACCGTCAGGAGTCGTCCTTTGCGTGAGAGGAATCACCACAATTCATGCATTTAGCTGGCATGTAGCAATGTTTAGTTCCGTGACCCCATCCCTGACACTTACGGCACTGGGTGAGGTTTTGGAAATTACCTTCAGTCTTCCTGAAGTGTTCCCACTTCACTCGGACATGGAGCATAAGGCTAGCTTTTTCCAAGGCCTTAAGGTTGTTTAGTTCACTAGACTTGAAGTGAACTAAATAAAAATCATTAGAAATCCCGTTGCGCGAATTGCCAGGACGGGATTTCATTTTCATTTTGATTACTTGGAGTGCCAGTTCATCTTTGATCTGATCCAGGGATTCACCACTGGGCAGTCCTTTCATGACAACCTTGAACACACGTTCAGTTTTGGTGTCGTAAGTAAAAAATTTATGCTGCTTCTCAGTAAGATACTTGAGAAGACATTTAAATCCGTCCAAGGTTTCAGCCAATACACGGCATTCACCCCGACGTCCAATTTGTAGAGAAAACTTAACTTTTACGAAGTTCAAAAGTTCCATGCGAAGATGGCTATCACAATAGGGGGAATCTTTTCCTTCTTGGCATTAAGCCGGGAAAGTTTACTAGAATTTTTCTTGGATGATGGATCATTCTCATCATCCGTGAGCAAATCAAATTGATTACTCAAATTAATTTCATCAGAAGGGGGGTCAAGAGTTTGCCCCTTTCTTTTGCGTTTAGGCGCCATGGCGGCAGTAAATTTGTATCCAATTCGACTTCCAAGCAGATTACTATAAGAATCTGAAGGATCGAAGAGGAATTTTCCAAATCGATATCCAAGAAGGATTACCTCGGGTGGGGTCCAAACAAGGATCGAAGAGGAATAAGAGTTGAACAAGGTAGACTAATTTTACAGGTTGAGCACTGAAAAGTGCTGTTTAAATTTGTTGTAGCTTTAGGTAGTAGTAACACTTCCTTAAGCAAAAAGCAAATAGATCCGCACGGCAAGAGAGCACGATGCGGACTCGGGTTCATTTTTTTCAGGAACCGCAGCTAATCAGCACACTGTTATCATAAATTTTAACCATTCAATCTGTCACTTATAGCGGAATTTTTCAAAAAAAGCACGCATTGCTCCTTTACGCGTTGAACAGTCACCGCGTAAACCAAGGTGAAGGCGTAATTGAACGAGTTCCTACGATTATACGATCTTAAATTTCTACTGGTATTATCCAATGCTATCCAATGCATATGTGCTCTTACCCATCATTCTCTCCAGCTTATCAGCTCAGCTCCGGATCCGAATCGTCGACCCGAATCATTATTCACTAACATGACAGCTCTCGGACCCGTCCAGCTCTTCGGATCTATTTTCTCCCGATTCTTCACGATTCAGCTCCAGATTCAGAACTAAGCTGAAGCCAAGAATAGTGGGAGCAATTGTGCTGGAGAATCAAGGTGGATTCCGTCCAGAGCGATATTCCACGCACGGGGCGAGATTTTGCGAATGTACGAGAGGGAGAGAAGTACTAGTTGTCTCTCTCATTCCAACGCAAATTCTGCTCCGCTCCGCTAATGCACGCTCAGATCTGAATACACCATTAGACTTATGATATCAGTGAGCTGATGAGCTGCGGTTCCTAAAAATGAACCGCAGGTCATCAGCTGACTTTAATGAATCGGGTCTATAGAACAGCTCGGGAGCCAATCTCTAGATTTGAGCTGATGATCTGGAGCAGAAGCCGAGAACAGTGGGAGCAATTGTGCTGAAGAATTAACATCAGAAATAAAATCTGTATGTAGAATGGATTGCATAGCTTGAGAAAAGGTGTAACATCGAGTAACACGATGTCGATCATATCATCGCGTGTGTATCATTTGTGTTAAAATTTCTATAATTTAAAGGTGAGCTAAAGAGCTGTTCGAAAGAATCGACTTCCTTTAATGAGCTGGACGGGTCTGATCCGCTTTGCCAGATGAGCTATTTTGCCCACCTCTACTAACAACATCTTGAGGATCATTTCTGAAGAATTTTGAGCAGTATTCCAATTATATTCCGGTGAAATTTTTAAAGGAAATGTAAAAGAGATTCCCAAGGAAATTATGAGAAATTCTGAGCAGGACTAAAAATAAACTCCTTTGCGAAAGGAGAACTTCGAGTGATTTTTTTCAGGAAATTGCAAGAATCATTAATACAATTTTTCAGAGTGAATTCAGAGAGTGTACTGCAGAATATTTTCAAGTGTATTGTGGAGGAAATTATTAAAGAACTCAATTTTCCATAATTGTATAATGAAATCCAGAGGCTTAGATTTTTAAAGATTTCATGCTTGGAAAATTATATGATCCTGGATTTAGAAAAAGATTCATGGTTCAGGATGTTTTATTTAAAATTAAATATTCCGGACATGGATGGGGGATTAGGGAGCAGATTAGGGAACGTGAAAAGTGTTCAAAAATATCTGAAATGCCGAAATTTGCAATTTAAGGTTGCGCGCTTGAAATAAATCAAATGACTGAGACTTCATTCTTCTAATTCTGGGACTTTGAAACTTTGAAAAGTTTCTAGATCTCATGGTGACTATTGGATTCCGATAAGCAATTTTCCGTTTTTTTCCCGATGTTGACCCGTAAATTTGGAAATGTTTCCGATTTTGCAATCTGCACTAAAATTAAGCATAAACCCAAAAACCAAAAGGATCTCTAGGTTAAAGGGTCATTACTAAGAATTCTTCATAAT